AAACCCATATTTATTTCTACGTTATCAAATTCGCGATTTTAATTGGTCAATCAACAAAATTGCATGGGTTAAAATTTTGTATTCCCTCCTGTTAATTTTTGTGTTCCCAGTACGTTCTCTCCTGTTGGTTAACCTATTCCACCACAGTCCAGGTAAGATAGAATAAGCCTTCCGGAAAATGTCTGCATTAGGTGTGCAGATCTTCCTGTTGGCTGATCTGAATTTTTCACATGACCTGCATAATGCAATTGCCATGTGATTCTCCTTATCCTTAACTGGTTAAAATTAATGTTTAACCTATACATGCAGCCCAAAGTATTTTAACACTGTCATAAAGGGGGTTACACATGTAGTAAAGGGGTGTTACACTTATGTTTTTAGTGAGTGACGTGATTAATTTCTATATACTTTCTACCATCAAAATTGGAATAATTTTGACCATTGAAATCACCAAACCAATTTGGGCTGCATGTATAGTTTAACCAGTTAAAGAATTTTTAAACAGTACCAATCTCTAATTAGGAAATTGTTTAAAAATTATCATACTATATATAGTCAACTAGTGTTCCATGTCGCAATCCAAAAAAGGAAACAAAATGGTCGTAAAGGTGATTGCAACCAGTGGTTGCAATCATTTTTATATGACGCAAAGGTGGTAGCAACCATCATCAAAAGTTGCAGCTGGTATCCTTATAGTCAACTCCCTTTAAGTGCAACCTCTCTAAATGCACTCATTATGTAAACCCTCTCTAAATGCATGCCATGTCTCATCCCCAAATTTATAGTGAGCTTATAAAATTACCCTCTCTAAATGCATGTTCATGAGAAATAGTGATATGCTCCAAGGAGGGTGCACTTAGAGGGGGTTGACTGTATATTCAATAGCTAAATATTAAATGATGACAATACATATAATAAAATTTGTGTAAAATTTATAATACTGTATCATGGGTTACTTGAGATAAAAAATATCCATTTTGGACAGAAAAGTTCTATAGACCAACATTAGAAGATAAATATTTTTTTGGCATTTGGATCTTTTATATAGCATTTTTATTATGATTTACTGCTGCAACTTTTACTTCTGAATCATCATTTAGAATCATTGAATCTTAAATTGAATCTAGACAATTCATATAGCATCCAATTACAATTATTATTATGTGATATTACGTCCATAAATTTTAATATGTAAAGTTGTAATATTTGCAAAAAATTATGTAATATTTACACTCAATGTAATAATTCCATGATTTTTGCATAATATTATGGGACCCACCATAAACTTACATAAATAGTGTAATAATTATGTAAATCTGCATCAGAAAAAAATTCCTGATGTGAATGCTCACTCATATGGTTAACCAATGATAAACAATCATCTACCAAACTGATTTCATTGTCAAGTTTATTATTAGATTTAAGATACATATTATTCTTAATTCCTTTGGCATATATTTTGAAACATTATTAGAGTTGCCAAAAATTCTTTCATTTTATTCATTGTTATTTTAAGCTTTTCACACATATTTTTACATTATTGAACCAAGTCATGATTATACATTAGACAATGATCCCTATTTTCAATGAAAATATCATCCATATCTTGGAAATAATAATTCATATATTCAAGATCACTTTATGATACAACCACATGTTTACAAAATTCTCTTCTTAAATGTTGGCAACATATTATTTTCTTACAGGCAATAATATTTTTATTGTATTTTCAATAATAATACAATTAAAATATTTTTAATAGGGCATTTAGATTATGGCCAACACAAGATAGTACTTATCTGTCAATGTATTTTCATTCATAGTGAAGAGTTTGTTTATTGGTCTGCTTGGTAACACAAATGAAGAAAATAATACACAAAAAATACTATGAGATTGAACTATTATTCTATTTACTTCCCAATCAACGTTGTTGGAGATATTGGTTTCAGACATATTCATTCTTCTTTTTTCCTTTTTTCATATAAATATACATAATATATTTGTATATTCTTTTATTAGATCTTATTATGTATTGGTTGAGGATATTCGTAAGAAATTAATGAAATAGATGACAGTGAAAAGAATTTAAATTTAAAAGTCTTTGTTTAAATTTAAGAACTTTTAATTATTGTGCAAAATGAATTTTTATTTATGTGTCATTATTTATTTATTTATTTAATAAAATTATTTCTTTTTTTTTTGATAGTGTGAAAATTTTATTTTTTTACGTATCATACTTTCTTCTATCTGAGAAAGATGAAGTTCAAGTGACAACAATGATGGACATCCTTAACAGCTTCCCACCTAGTCGACTAGAGTAAGTATTCGCCCTTAGTCATGCTGTTGCTGTTGCTGTTATTGTGATTACATAATATTGCAACGTGTACAATGAATAATTTATATATTAATCATTTTATTATTAAAGATTCTCCATTCGGCAGTTCCTAAATAATTTAATTTTCTATGATTGTTAGGATCAACATTTTCAAAAGCAGTTTGTAGAATTTGTAAAGAATCTCCATGACTAACTAACACGATCACCTTTTTGATCTTCTTTTTGGTTTCATTGGTTTCATTGTTATTATTACCATCATCGTCATCATCGTCATCATCATTAGCACTATTTACTTTTGATTCTTTTTCAATTTCATAGATAACATCACACATACGTCTCCTAACTTCCCAACAAGTCTCTACACCTAATCGTTTATATTCTTCATCGTTGTCATTATTATTACTGATGCTATTGATATTTTCATCAATGCTCCATACTTTATGATAAGATTCATGATCTGATTTCAACTCGAATATTCCGAAATTTCTTTCACAAAGTTGTTGATGAACAGTGACAATGGGATCAAGTGATAACAAAAATGACGATGAGGTATTTTCGTTGTTCGATTTAGTTGGAATGCGTGGTTCGAGATTTGTTAGATGATTTGAAATATGATCATGTATAATTTTAGCAGTTTCAATTGTACGAGAAAATGGTGAAGTATAAATCTTTAAATATATCATGGAATTACTGCTACTGCTGCTTTTATTACTATTACTATTATTATTATTTGTCGATGATAAAAAATAATTTAATAAATTTTCTGCTGCCTAAATAAAATAAAAAAAATCTAAAATTTATTAATAAATTCATTAATAATCTCACGAAATAGTTATTCAATCAGTTAGCAGAACGAAGATGATTAATTTACATTTTCAACTTGTTTTTTACCCAAAACTGTAAGACCCCAATCGTTCTCGTCATCGTTAGATTTAGTATCATTCTTTAACGATGCAACCACAATCTTTGAAACATTAGCTTTGGATTGACCATGTCTAAAAAGTATAAAAGTGTTCTTCAATGTTGATAATGATGATGTTAATGATGGCGTTGCTGATGGATTTAGAAGATTTGATTCATCTTTTTCATTATTGCTTACTAGCGAAGACATTATCATTATCATTATTATTATTATATCAATCAAATATTTGTTTGTGTGGGGTGCACATAAAGGCTGAAAAAAAATCTAATTTTTTTTAATTAAGTTAAATATGGATTCATATAAATAATATAAAGAATTGACATTGTTGTTGTGAAACTTTCTCCGCATTTTTTTGGGGGATTAAAAACAAAAATAAAATAAAAATTGTTTGTTATGACGGGGATGACGATGCATGATAACTTTAATTTTAGATAATAAACTGTCAATGTTCATTGTAAATTTAACTTTTTTTAACTTTTTGACAGGGTAAAAAAGATGGTGTGACATGAATTTTAAGCCCGTGATCTTTCTTTGGGGTAAATTAAAAAAAAAAAACCATTATTAATATAGAGAAGAGTGAAATCAATCTTTGAGGTCATACATAATTATGGTTCACAGCGAAGATTTCAACCCAAATATTTTTTTTTTGTTTTTTTTCGGGATAAACCTAGAATTGTTTAAATTAAAATTCTAATTCTGAATTGTCTTTGCATTTGCATTCTTCTTTTAATATTCATTCATCATTAATTGCCTTTAAAAAATCAATTTATTAGATTCTCTAAGAAGAAGATTTGATATAGTCATATGAACAATTTGTACGCATTATCACAACATAATGATGAATTTTTTAAGTTATAAATACGAAGGAAGAACCGTTCTTCTTTTATTTCTGTTTCTACGTCACCAATTAATGTTTACTGACTACTTTATATATACATAATAATAAAGTTGTTTAGTTTTTAATGTCAATGCAAAATTATTTTTAATTATCACTAATAAATTAATAACAATTAATTATTCGTTATTATTATTGATCAAAAAGTAACGAACGAACACAAATAATTTTATTACGATTTTTCTTTAATTTCTAAAATTTTTATTTCTTATTTTTCCATTTCTTTATTCTCCCTAAGATTTCAAACATTCATCTTAATTATAAGAAACATCATTCGGTCGACCATCCATTCGATCGTCAAATCTAAGAATTTCAAAGTATTTACTTTAAATTAGTTTCCCCTATTGCTATTTTATCAATCAATCAATCAATCCCCCCCCCCCCCCTATATAATTAAGTCTATAGTTCATATTTACATAACAAAAGACGTCATAAGGCTATCTAAAGTTTATTATCTCAAAGCTTCTATATCATTTGGTTGATTTTAACCTTTCTCCTTTTTACTTTTCTCCTTTTTTACTCTTCTCCTTTTTTTCTCCATTAAGTTTTTCCCTGGTGTGAGAATATTTATTATCTCGGTAAGTTGCTACATTTTCTTGATTTTTATTTATTATTACTTATTTTACCATCGCTACTGTTTATTACCATTTAATTTATTATTAAATGTAATGATTAAGAGATTTTAAGATATTTATTTATTATTTATTATCATTATTTGGGAGAATGTTGAAAATTTCAAAAAAAAAAAAGAATTCATATATATAAAAATAACACCGAAGCATGATCAACAAAATCATTTACAAAAATGTGTATTTGCTCTCAAAAATAGTAGTTGTAAAGAATTGTTGAATGAATCAAAATTGACACAACATATTAGATACTCTTTATATATACATTAAAAATAGATTTTCATGTGAATTCAAAAATAGTAAAAATAAATGGAAATAATTATAGAAAATTGGTAATATAGTTCAGATATATTGGCAATAAAAATCGATAGCAATAGGCAATTAGTAATAAATAATAGTGAATTAGTCATTATCTCGTGTTTGCGCCTCTTTTAATTTTGCTTCTGCAAGATTCACCAATTAATATTAACAGTGATTAATAACACAGAAAAGAAGGAATAAAGAAAGCAGGAGAAAAATTTTTTTAATTTTTAACTTTTTTATATTTCTTCTTTTTAAATCATTTTTTTTTGTCTTGCAAGCATAATATTAGACAGTATATTTAAATTAAAATTACTACTTATTTATTAGTTAATTAATCATTATTTCTTTTCTCATTATTATTTTTCTCATCTTGCTCATTTTATTTATTTTGTTTGGAACAAATTTCAGTTGTATTATTTAAAACTAAAAATTCCTTTTTTTCTTTACAAAAAAATTGATTTTTTGTATTTCTCACACTCGCACTCACACCCTCACTCACACCCTCACAACCTCACCATCATCACAAAACAAACTTGACAACTTTAACAATTGTTTATTTGGAATAATCTAAACCACGTATGTGTTTTATTTCAATTTATTTTTTTCCTAATTTTTGCTTCTTTCAATAATAATGTCGATGGGTATTAAATAATAATAATAATGTATGGGTATTAATTAAATAATAATAATGAATGGGTAATAATGATGACGATGGTGGTGGTGATGATGATGATGATGATGATGATAATAATAATAATAATAATAATAATAATAATAAAATTTGGGGGGGGGATAAAAATATGGGTGGAACTATTTCTTTAGAAATCAAATCTTGAAATTTTATTTTTAATCTTTACGTTTTATTTTATTTTATTTTAAATGTATCTATTCAATTTTTTTTCAAATACAGTCATTGGAAACCTCCCAAACAACAATTATACAAACGGTAATATTCATCATTATCATTATCATTATAATCATCATCATAATCAACAATATAATCATAAATATAATCATAAATCAACAACGTCAACTTCATCAAACAATAGAAATTTTGATAATAAAAATTATAAAGAATATCATTTCAGACAAAAATCATCGGCAAATTTATTAAATTCAGAAAATCAGAATAAAAAAAATAATATTATTAATAACAAATCACGTTACAACAATCATCGTAATAATAATCAAAGATTAAATAACAACAATAACAAAATGGCATCAACAACATTTTCTAATAATAATAACAGCAATAATTGCTTACATCCAACGATGCGCAATAACAATAACATTACTAATAAAAAAGTTGCTGCTGAGCATAAATATAAAACTGTTGATGAAATTTGTTCAGAAACAAATTTATATCTAATTCTTGGTGTTGAAAGATCATGTTCATCAGAAGAATTAAGAAGGGCTTACATTAATGTAATTATATTGTCGTTGTAATCAATTAATTATTGATCTGTATAATTAACCAATGTTGGTTTCTTTTTTTTCACTCGCATGCAGAGATCAAGAATTTGTCATCCTGATAAATTTCCAGAATATCCAAAAGCAACAGAAGCATTTCAAAGTAAGTTTTTTATAAATTTAATTAATAAATATTAAAATGAATGAAAGAAATATTTATAAATTTTTACGTTATATATTTTAGAACTTTCATATGCCTATGAAACATTGAATAAATCATCCTCAAGACGTGCTTATGATATATCAGGCACAAGTGATTTAGGTAGTGTAAGCGGGACGGGTGATGATACATTACATGGAGTATTATATCAAGTAAGTAATATATAACGCTATTTTATTTTGTGAATTAATAAAAGTGTATAAAATATTAATATTTTATCTTTTTTATAGTTATTCTTAGAATTCATGGACGGCGATTTTGAAATGATTCGTTCTTTAGTTAGTAAGTATTGCCATTAGTTGAATATTTGGTTGATTTGTTGAAAATATAGCAAATCGACTTATCATATTTATTACGTGATATAGATGCATTAAATGAAGGTAACCCTGGATTAAATCTGGGTGAAGATGCAATTGAAACACTAGAAACAGCATTCGGAAGAATGAGAGAAATACTTTTAGGTAAAAATATTTTTTTTATAAGGAAAAGTAATTCCTCATATCATATATATTATTAATATTTTTTTCATTCACTCATTCTCAACTTAGCCGGTAAAAAATATGTCAAAATTGTACAATTCGAGTTGATCAGATTATATGAACTCCAACAACAACTTCGATCATTATCATATTTTGATATTTTTGGTCGTATAAGATTAACGATGCAATTGGCTCGTATAACACTTTCCATACCAATGCTGATTGATTCGGCGATGAAATCCGAATTTAAGCAATTGGGTAGCAAAGGTATCAATAAAGGACTTCTAGGAGACGGTTTGGCTAAAGTAATTTCTGGTTTAGTCAATGTTCTAGAAAAAGGAGAACAATACTTATGATCATTATATTTTTTAAGGGCCGGATTTTTTAAATCTTATTTAATTATTAATTAATATAATATATCAACTTTTATAAAAGTAATCCCTCTATAAATATAATATATATATATATATACACACACAATAATCATTTATTTAGAGTAGTTTTTTATTAACATTCCCTTTAATAATTCGTTCATTACCCATATATATGTCAATTTTATATGTAATGTTTTATCCCCCTCCTACGCATTTATATATATCTTTCCTTCCTTGTAATTTTTTCCTCATTTATGATATAAATATTATAAATATATAAATAGTATAGTTTTTTATAATTTTTTTTCTTAAAAAAAAAATCAAATAAAAAATAAAAAATTTTTTTTTGTGTAAAATGGCTAATTTGAACGTTTTCTTGCAGATCGTAAAAAAAAGATTTTTTTTATAATTTATTTCTTCTTACCATCTTCACAAACATGTCATCACCTTCAAAAACTACCAAAGAAAAAAAAACAACAACTCGCAGTGCAATTGCTGATGTTGTAACTAGAGACTATACAATCCATTTACATAAAGCTGTTCATGGCAGGTATTATAAAAATATATATTTAAATTATAAGTAGCAAAAATTATCATTCAATAAATAAAATCCATTAGTAATTAAAAAAATAAAAAATATTTATTTGATAGAACTTTCAAGAAACGTGCACCACATGCAGTAAAATCAATAAAAAAATTTGTAAATTCTCATATGGGAACTAAAGATGTTCGACTCGATCCTTTATTAAATAAAGAAATTTGGAAACAAGGTGTTAGAAATGTTCCTCGTCGTATGCGCCTTCGTCTTTCACGACGTCGTAATGATGAAGAGGATGCTAAGGAAAAATTGTATACTTATGTTACATATGTTCCTGTTCCAACATTTAAAGGTAAATAAATAAATATAATGATGATGATAGATATTAATTAAAGAATGGATTAAAATATTTGATTTTAATTAATTAATACATTTATTATTGATTGTTGTTTATCATTATTCATTCTTTCTCTATTTTAAAATAATCAGGTCTTCAAACCCAAGTAGTTGACGAGTAAAAAATATATTTATGTGTATATTCTATATCTGTTTATTAGATTGATATTACAGAATAAAGTACTCTATATTATACAAATAAAATATAAAATTGCGATTTTGGGGGGTTTTTTTTTCATAAACTCACTAAAAAAACTTAAACACAATCAGCCATTAATAACATTAACTAACTATATAGAAGTATTTGTGGTAATATCAATTATTATTATCAATGATAATTATATATTTTATTCCTTTTGTTTTTTGAAAGAGGGCTCTGGGATTATTGGGGTTATAATTAATATAAATGATGTAATGTTTTTTTATGAATTGTACGGACAGAATTTCCGAGATAAGCATGTTTCTATTTTCACCAAATTTGTGTAGTTTAGATGAAATTTCTATATGTAACACGCTCGAGCAAAAAAGTTTTAATGATGTTGATTTACTTTTAATCGATCTATTGATAGACTGATATCCCAAACATATTAATGCACAAAGAAACATCTTTCCATTGTTAAATCGGATAAACGTTTAAGAAAAGTGGGAATTTCTATAATTGATAATCGTGATTATGATTAATTATTAATATATTCGAAAAGATGATGAAAAAATCCCGTTACCAAATGCCTATAAATATATTTAATGATTTCTAAAAATATCGAGATAAAAAAGAATTATAAATGAATTTTAGAAATATTTACTCATTGTTTGTTATATAATCAAATATAGTTGCATAATAAAATCACGCCTTGTTTAGGAGTTAATTTGGTAAGCAAACAAAAACAATTGGTTATTTGGATTATGACATAATTTGAAAAATCGTCATTTTGCTTTATTGTTATTATTTTTTGGAAAATATATATTGAATGAGATTTAATAAAATTATAAATTTATAAATACTGACTACTCTTCAAAAAAAAATTTTAAAAAAAAATTTAAAAAAAAAAAAATTAATTAATTAATTAATAGAAAATGGAATCACAACGAAGACCTTTAGCCAATTTCAATAACAACAAAAATAACAAAGATAATAACAACAAAGATAATAATAACAAAAATAATAAGAATAATTATTCATACATAAATAATCGTTATGCTGAGCAAGAACGGCGACCGCCAACTGAACTAATGATTCAAGAAGCTAAACATGATTATGCCAGCAGATTGTATAACCACACCGAACTACAAATTAAAAAATTAAAATTAAAAATATAATCAATAGTGTTTACTTTGAGAACATTCAGAAAATTTAAAACTGTAAATAGAGAAAATAGAAACATTCCCCATTTTTGGAAGAATAAAAACATTATAATATTTTTTATTTATTTTTTATTATGTAAATTTTAATTTCTCTTTTTTTTTGATGATAAATTTTAGTTCAATTTAAATTTTTTTTAAAATAATAAATAAATTAATTCCACGAAATTTTTTTTTAATTACGATCCTTTCCTGGAGAAAAAAAAATTTATATATGGTGCTGTGGCATTCGCCGAAAATTTCTATACCGATCTTTATAAAGAAATCAATACAAGTCTAACCTTGTCATAACGAATGTATGGGACTGACCACCTAAATTCGTTGTAACAAAATTTGTTGAGACGGTCAGGATTGACAAAAATTTTACATATTAGTATGACAAAATAAATATTAATAATGATGATAACAAATGTATGGCCTGGGCTAACCCATATTGTGCTGCTAATTCAACATTTTTTGGTTGAGGTTTTATTTCTTTTTAATAAGCAAATTTCTCTTTTTTATGACTTTTTTTTAAGGGTAGGGGGAATCACGTGGTATATTTAATATGGTTGGCTCGAACAGGAGAGACCGTTCTGGGAACACAAAAATTAACAGGAGGGAACACAAAATTTTAACCCATGCTATTTGTTGATT